CTGAATACAACTCGAATATCCTTACCAGTGCCGGATACAGAGGGGTTTTTTGGACTTCAAGAACTACCACCCCCCACCCCAACCTGAGAATTTTCTTTAAAATATCATGAATTTTCACCATTTTCCTCAATTTTCTCCACATGGAAACGCCCTGGAAATTTGGAACCCCCCCCCNAGAGCTTTAATAAGTCATTATTACTATCAGCTGGTGTATTGTTGCGTTACCTCGACTCGTAATTAATTGAGATATTGTTATAATTACTCTATAGACAGTTATGTAAATGTCTGACAATACAGCGTTCCATAACCTTGCTAATAAGACTCCAGGGTGATATCGGCCGGTTACAACTGTGTTTTCCAACTACAAAAAAGGTCTACGGCATTCGTTACTTCTCACGACTGTAAATATTTGCTTTATGACAGAAACAACACGAGATCAATATTTTGCGACATGATTGCGGTTTTCCAATCTAAATATAGCGCCCAATCAAATATTTGGGTACTGATGCTGAGGATCATTTTGTGTTTCTGTTTTGAAGATGTTAATCATTGTGTCCTTGTATTCTGACGCTGTCGTATAGTTTTTCTTAGTGTCCTGACACTGTGTCTTATTTTGTCATTATTTTCTGACGCTGTGTTATAGTCTGTTCTAATGTGATGACAGGGCGTTAAATCGTTTTTCACCATATTCTTAATGTAACGGAAACAATATATATATAACTTAGAAATAGAAATTTAACCAATCCAGCCTATAACTTAAAAAAAAAACAGTGGGGAAATCAACATCAGCATTTGGATGTTATACATTTTAGACAAGAATCTTCTTATACCGTTCTCGATTTGTAATTGTGTGTAAGTTAGGAAAATTAATCACAATATCCTCAATTAAATAAAGATAGCAAAGATGTCGTATCATTATTTTGTCCAAAGTCAGAAATCAAATATTTGTGCTTTGAATTCGTAACTATTTGAAAACCAAGAATAAAACAGACTCTCACCATTCCATCCCTTCTTCCATCCACGTGTGCAAGGCTTACCATTGTAGCGATATTGACAATTGATTTTTTTTTTAAACTCCACGTCCATTTCATCATAGAGTTTAGCTTGTGACGTTTGTTTCACGCTATACCAAAGATCTCGTGAGAGGAGGTCGTTTCAATGTCACAGCAAATGTGTCTCCGGGCGGCAACTTCCACTGTTCCGTAACAAATACAATGGGTTTGTAAATTCCGGATGACTTGTTAAATAAAATAAAGGACGACATCAAAAGGAAGCGACGACACAAGTATCGCTACTCAGATAAATCTCAGTCGCCTGAATTAACCGGAAGTGAACGAGATACCACTGAAGGCACATATTCGTCAAACCGGAAGTGAAATAGATAACTATAAATGGACGCATTTGTTACAGTACTCGGAATTTAATGGAAAGATGTGATCGGCTTTGAAATTGAAACCTTTCAAGTAGAGTTTTATTCAGATTTGCGGAAGCGACATAAATTTCTACGCACAATGTACTTCTTATAGTACATATTATTCCCAAGCATTGGGAGGATTTTGTTTTGTTTTGTGATGATTTGGGATCAACGTCATCGCCATTTGATGAACATCTAGGGACACATCACATAACAGAATGAATGGTAAGGGAGTGATCCAAAGATAAAGGTCCCTAGTATTATCGTAAGGGAAGCAGATCAAGCTCATAGAGTCTTAGAAATAACCAAAAATATCTTCAAATATATAAAACAAATTGTCTCGGTTTATATATATATATATATATATAAATAAATGACAACAATAACCCGTCAACTCGCATATTCGTGAAACACAATAATTATGCCTTTACAATGAGCTATTGATATCGACACACCTATATAGAAATGTCTGTAGCACAATACTCACGAATGTGCCAGAAACGAGTGCGTGCTTAACCGGGATGTAGAATTCCCTAAGCTACTGTTAATGTATATTAGGAAGCTCCAAACAATACCACGTATCCACAATTCGCTGATGAGTGAGGCACTTTCTGGCCAGGATCCCAGGCACCGGAAGTAGGCACAGGCCATGATTGAAACCATGACAGCACCGGAAGTTGACGCAGAAAAGAATCTTGTTAATGGAGACAGTTTAGCTATCCACAATACAAAAAAGCAAATTCCAGACGATTTGATTTTCGATTCCTTGAAAACATGTAAATAGAGGATATCTTACAGTGTCTTAAGTATTACCGAATATATTTTTTGAGCGTGGTTTTATTATTTGTGGGGAAAAAATATAAAAGAAAGAAAAGAAAAAAAAAAAAAGAAAAAAAAGATTTGTCATGAAAATTAATATTCAAATTATCATATGAAGAATCAAGATTTTTTTTTTCATTAACCAAAAAGATCACGCTGCTATAAAAAAAAAAAAAACAAGTGTCAAAGCAATGACCTTTAACCTTTTCCATCATAAAAATGATGTAGGTACACAACCGTATAATAACAAAACCAGGTGCTTTTTGCCCTGTCGCAGTGATCCTCTTTTGTTCTTTTTAATGTCGAAAAATATTAATATAGTGAAAAATCCTTCATTCCGGATTTTTTTCATTCAAATAATGAACAAATGCTAAAAGGTGATAGGACTAAAATTTAGCCTGACGAAAATTAAAAGGGTGTTTTCTAGCTATACAACACATTTCTACTGCTAGAAGCAGACGTTGGGGCAATGAACGTAGGATTGGCCGACTCAGAAATAATCTGCTGTTGTTGTCAATTTGTATGTAATTGGTGTAAGTAATGACAAAACGTAGGCTTAAACAAAGGTCGTTGACATCCGTTAACATTTCAAAGTGTTAATGTAGACAAATGGACTTGGTTAGTTTGTTTGTACATTGACTTCTGTGAAGGTATTGCCTCGCGTTTTGTCTTTGTCCTATGTTCTGGCAGTGACTCGCGTTTTGACATCAACAAATGTTATGATAGTGACTAGTGTGTTTTCATTTAATACTGTTTGACATAGACAGATATTTTGGTTTTTGGTTCGTTTGTGTTTTATGTGCTATTTACAGCTATGGTCATTTAAAGACGTGCCAGACTTTGTGGTGGAGGAAAGCCGGAGTTCCCGGAGAACTTAACACATTAACACATGGCGAATGTCCCACGTAGGCCTCGAACCCACGTCCCAGTGGTGGAGGGCCATTGGTAGCAGAATGTTAGACGCCTTAACCACTTGGCCACCGCGGCCCCAGATATTTTGACGGTGACAAATCTTATAATATTGGCTAGTATTTTGACATTGGATAGTGTTTGACAATGGGTATTGTTTTGGCATTGGATATTGTTTTTACATTAGATCTTGTTTTCACATTACAAAATGTTATAATATCGGTAAGGTCTCTGACATTGGCAAATACCTGTATTTTGATATTGACAACTGTACAATATTGACAAATATCATGACAGCTACATGTATCAGCTTGAAAATGACGGTTCCATTAGTCTCATATAAATATATAACTCATATAGGATGCTACATAACTTTATCACGATATCATAAAAAATAAAAAAAATCATATTATAAAGGCGGAAAAGAATGTGTTCTACATTAATATGAGATATAGTTGACAAATGATGCAGTATAAGAAACGGGCTTGATGCGGTACTAACTACAGTGTATATCAAATGTAACAAATCATATATAATCATATCTAAATACATTGCCATTCCCAGAAGCGTGAATGCTGTCACAGATTATGTATAGTCTGTCATCATCTCCATATTCTGTCTATGAGCGTCCCGTGATGGAACTGTCTAGCGCGTTTCCCCAAAGGTACGAATTGTAAAAACCGTCTATCGACGGTATCTGGCGATTCATGTCAGACCTGTAATTCAGTTGGCAATGATATTGAATTGCTCCCTATAGGCTACCGTAACGCGTTAAGATCCTTGTCGCAGACATAATGGTTAAGTTAATTCAGTCATCTGTACATGTAAAAATACTAAATATTGAATTATTAAAATGAAATTACTTGATAGGTACATTTGTTGTTGGTGGTTTTATTTTCATTTTCATTTTTTTTTTTTTTTGCATTATGAAATCTTTAAAAAATAGTCGTTAAAAAACGTATACTTGGCGTGCTGTTTTAGAGGAACAATGTTTTCTATTAAGCAGGAGATTGTAATCCTCCCATGTTGTTGTCTAGTACACTTTTGATTAAATTGTCTTAAGTCTCTTGGTTATGTAGCCAACACAAAAATCGGTTTCAAGTAGTTAGAAGCTTACGTGTTATATTTTCCATTTTACCCCTTCATCAAATTTTAGCCAGAATTAAATACACTTAAACAAAAACATAAATGAATACATTTAGTTTTGGTGCAGATGATAACTTATAGTAGGACGGTATTAATAAGCTCCGTTAGGCCATTTCAACACTCATTCCGCCTCCGTTATGCCGTTTTAACGCAAAGTCCGCATCCGTTAGGCCGTTTTAGCACTCATTCCGCCTCCGCTACGCCGTTTAAATACTCATTCCGTCCCCGATACACTCTTGCAGGTGGGGGATCGGGAAAAGAATATGCCTGCTTGTTACCCACTGCCATTATCTTAGAATGGTTTGTAATGCCTACATTAAACCATGAAAACGGTGCGGTTTTAAGTCAGTTTGTACAAAATTCGCAATTCATGATAATTTCTTTAATTTTGCTATTTCGGATATTTTCCCATATAACAATATAAAGTGTCAAATGAAGAAATTGCCTTTCTAATACAATGTTCAGATGATGTGGTTGTTATATGTAAACCCAGTTGAACGAAAACAATGCATCGCATGTTTGCTCAAGAAGAGATACAATGAATAATGGAAGTCTCTATCTATAAAAGTCAAGTCAAGGATACCTGTCTAATCAACACACCTTTAGGCACGCTACTCGTGAACCGGAGCATACAGGACCTAGGTGCGTGAGTTAAATAATATTTTCATATTTCTAATGAAAAATTTAACGATGTGTTTAATTTTTATTCCAGGGCCAAAGTTCTGGGGATATCATAATCCGGAATGGATTTTGTGTCGGAAAGGAAAATTACAATCACCTATAGACATTGATCCACACAATCTTATATACGACCAAAATCTACGACAGTTAGAAATAGGGCAAGACAAGGTAAGGGCAGGTTACTCTCTATGTTGATGACAAGACAAGGGCAGATAACTTCATCATAATGAGTCTTTCTATTCGAACGAAAATAATTCAGCGTTGATAACCCTCATGTAAATACCAAGGGAGATAACTCAAATATGAGGAGTATTTGAATAACATTTTGATAAATAGCTGCAATATCCAAAAACACGAAGTCAAGGGGTATAACTCGTTTGTTTTGTCAATTATACAAAGGCAGATAACTTGATTATAGTGCTCAGGAATTTAGTATCGAGTTCTATAATAATGCATACCATTACAGAGATGCAGTACGAAACTGTTTAGGGTACATAATTCAATTGAGATGATTATAGCCAGCAAATTGTGTATGACAAACTCATAAAGAATCTAAACGATAATTGAAAGATATGGAAGCTTTATGATCTATTGCAAGGTAGTTTTATGTTTACAAATTAGCGATCAATAACGTAACAGCAGCATTGAATTATTCTCAAAATTGTAAAACCCCTAAATTATATGCAAGTGCCGTTTTAATTATTTTTATGCACTTGTGCTTTTCCTTCTTTAGATAGACGGAAAGCTAATAAACACAGGTCACGATCTGACCTTGACAGTGGATGACCTTGACTTCACCTTCACAGGGGGTCCCCTATCATATGACTACATTGTTTACGAGATAAAGATACACCTGGGAAACTCAGATCGAGTCGGATCAGAACACACAGTCGGTGGTAATGCTTTTCCTATGGAGGTAAGTCGTAGCAATATCATGCATTACTTATGCATGAATATCTGTATATTGAAGTTATACGTGCACGTGTGAATATCCTGATTTCGTTAAAAAATCGAAGAATCTTACTTCCGTGATATAAAAAAACCTGGATGAACAGGCCAGTAAGGCCTTTCAGATGCTTGAAAACACGTCAAAACACTTTTTCCAAAAGTTACTTCTGGTACGATATCCGACGATATGTTAGCTCTTATTAAAGAATTGTCGACAGGTGAAATGGACATAATCATAACATAAGTAATGGTCCTTGTTTAATCTATTTTCGTCGTCAAATATTTTACACATCTTTGCCCCTAAAGCAAAAAGTTCGTTTCATGGCGTTAGGGGCTAGTAATGTCGAACTCTTGCTAAGAAATCGATATTGTACAGTATATAAAGGACCAGCAGATTAATATTATGAGCTTCAGTGTTTTGTTCGACCTTTATTATAATACTCCAGACCAAATGTTTTTGTCTAAAAAAGAGAATTTTGATGAACCACCGAATATACTGTGCCCTATACATACTAGTACATATATGTATAAAAACGTTATTTATTGTCTTTTAAAATAATTATGAAAATTTTCGGACTTATATTGATAGCCCGGATATAAGCACCGATTTGGTCTTAATGTGGGTGAAAATCGGAGAAACCAGAGAAAACCCACGTGGTAGCACATGTGACTTCATGTACCTTTTCACGTCTAATCGTGGAATCGAACCCGTCTAGGTTAAAGTCGAGTGCGCTACCCAACCACCCAAATTATATATAATGTTTTATCAAATATAAAACATGTTTGATATAATTCTTATAAAAAGAGTATGAATACCAAATAAATCGGATTGATAAAATTTCTCTTTAACTTTTTTACTTTTCCTCCATTATGCGCCAGCTGTTAAAGCTTGAATCTGTAGTCAGACGTGAGGTTTTAAGTGTTTGCCGATATTTGGACCTAGTGTCTTCGTGGATGTGGGTTCGACATCTGGCGTCAATGGCGACTTGATACCTTTAGAATGTACAGATGTTGTTAATTTTGGTGTAGCTCTTGCTGAAAGGATCGATCTTCCTCGTCTAATTTAGTGTTACACGTTTTATGTAAAATGAAATAAATTGAAGAGCAGTTTTAGAGATACCTTAAAAAAATCAACAGTGTTCTTCAAGAAAAAACACCTTGAAAGTCATTACTAAGCTTGTTTCAAACACAATTAAGCGGAGGTTTTCCTTTCTCTATACAAACGCTGCAGTGCTTTCAAGATAAATTAGGGTTGTAAGCGTTCAGACGATTAGATAGATATAAACCGGAAGTTGTCATTTGTCATGGGAGTTATTTCGAGACATTGGCCTTAAAATGAACACAAAGATGTCACACTTTTTTTACACTAAACCACGTGATGCAAACTTACACATTTTAAAACGTGTGACGTTGTGAAAGGATTGTTAAAAATAGTAATTAAATGCCTTAATTGATGTGTTTACAGCTTGTAATCAATTTCTGTCGAAAACCTACGACTTTAGCAAAGACTGGATGCCTGCAATCAGTCTCAAACAAAATATATTTCGAAGAAACATTAGTCTCAACCGAAACATGTTCGTTTCAAAGCAATAGTCTCAAAGACCACATATTTGTGTAGAACCTCAGTCTCCAACAACAACATTTCACGAACCCAAGTCTCAACTAAACGGGTTTTTTTCCAGAAAATATGTCTTGAGCAACATGGTTTTGTCTAGAAACTCATTCTTAAATCAGATTTTTGTTTCGGAGCTCAGTCTCAAATAGCAGGTTTGTCTTGATTATCAGTCTTAAACAAAATATGCTTGTCTCGAACCCCGTCTCAAACGTAACTTCTTTGTCTAGAATCTTAGTCTCAGACAGCATATCTTTTTCCTAGAACCTTAGTCGAAAACAAAACACTATGTGTTTGTCTAACAACTATCTCGAACGAAACGTATATGTCCAGAAAATAACTCTTGAACAAAACATGTTTGTCTTGAAACTTGTCTTGAAACTCAGTCTCAAACAATGTATATTTAAAACCACCGTCTCGAACATTGAACCTTACCTAGCCACGTAACACATTTGCGACAAGACAATCTTCGGAAGGTCAAAAGTCCTTTTAAATGAATCCGAATGACGTCATACCTTTAACTGATTTATGCATGTGTTTTGCAAGTTGTTGACAAGGTTAAAGAAAGCTTTATTAAAAATTGTGCTGAACGATGAGGTACGCCAAAGCGTCCAATCGAATTATAGTCTTATTTTACAAAAATCTTGTATGTTTAATAAATACAGCTGTATCGGGACTTCAAAATATCAAGGATGTTTTCTTGAGAAAAAACCCATTTCATCTATTTTGTTTTCAAGAAACATGCTTCCTAGATGATTAAACAATGAAAGAATAAGTAAACAATGGAATCGCGATTGGTCGAGTCATTTACATGTACTATTTGATTCTTGATAATTTTATTGCCAATTTGTTTATTTAATTCAAGATTATTAAATTATAGGTTAAGAGAGTCTACCGGTCCAGTTCTTGTTTGTTTGTTTGTTGTTGTTGTTGTTGTTGTTGTTATTTTAACACTTTATCAACAGGATATGTTTTATATTGATGTTTTTTATATCTAGTACAGACCATCGACAATTTAAGTCATCTATGGCCAAACAACATCAAAAATAGACATTCATAAAACTAAAATCTTCAAACTAAAACTAAATAAACAAAAAGGTGTAAACGATGTAAGAACACATCAATCGCGAACGAATTGGTTATAAAAAAATATCATGTTTTATTGTTAAAATCGATCGAGTTTACACAATCATGAAACACCATCAATATAAGGCTGACATTTTCTTTATTAATCTCATTTACACTCCTAAGTCTGCGTAAAATAAAAAGCTGACGTACGACACAAAACTACAATGACAGTTCCTATGACGTCATAGTAACACCTCAGGCTGAAGCCTGAGAAAGCAACTAATCCTAAAGTGAGAAACGCGATACCAAACCGTTTATGGTTTTTCACGCTGTGAATTATTTGAGTAGAATGAAAATAGCGTATAAGAGTTGATGTGGGAAGTGTTGAGAACTAGAAATAGGTGAGCGAGAATATTAGATATACAGAACTTTTATCTTGTTAGCTTATCCAATTGACTTCGGGAAGAACATTACTTTTAAAACCCCGTTACAATAACTGACGATCAATGGGTGATGTGTACTCTAAGGAAAATCATTTATTGCTTTTCAGATTCTTTTCCTTCTCTGTTCATTTGGAATAGCAGATATTGCATCAAGTGGCGAGAAAGTGTTATAAATGTTCCTGTATATTTGGATGTTGTGCTATGTAGTAGCGGGAACACTCGTAGAATTAAGAACTACAAACGAATGATATGTTCCCGTCATTTATTGTGGGGGATTTTCGTTTCTTTTCTTTTCTGATGTCATTATCATAAAGTCGAAGACAACATCTGTCATGGTCGTACAGTGCGCGTAGACATGCGATACGTAATCACCGCCATGTATTTTACCATGCTCTGCGTCGCAATATTATTCATCTGCCAAAAAAACGTTCTGCCCAGGTGAATTAAATATCACCTAGCTTAAGTAAGTTTTAATCATACCGCACCAAGGGGGGAAAAGGAAGCAATAATGTCTGATGTTTCATACGATGGATTGGGAGGGGGTGAGACAGGAATGCAGTGTAGGGGGGGNTATTGATGTCGGTGCTGTGACAGTTTCTCGCTACTCACAGGTCGAATATTGCGTATCGTTCTTAATTCATCACCCTGCAAAGACACTCCGTGCCATTATGAGCTCCATTTTTCACTCTGCAGTACGAATGGCGTATGACAAGATGACCAGCGGTCACCGACACCTCACGTAGACAAGAACAGTAGAAACCGTGTATGTAGTTGTCCGAAATCTGTTTGTCTGCCAGAACTGGACGGCTTGTCTGGCACTATAAGTTATCCATCAAGCAGTACTTGTACATTGGAAGTGTCTAATCCATGTCGCGGTCAATCGGGCTTCGGTAATCCGGAAAAAGTCGAAGATTCAACACGAAATTCTGTTCAGATCTACATTTATATGTATCAATCTGCAGTACGTGAAGCATTATGTCAGACAGGTGGATGAACAGACAGACACGCCTCCTTAATATTTTGCTTTTAAAGATTGTGTGCTGGGCTAAACTGATAATCTATATCAAAATAGTTGCATTAAAGACACTTGTACTTGGCGAGTAATGTAGGGTGCTTCTAATCCAATAACATGCATTCAGTCTCATAGTTTCTTTATATATAGATTCGTTTATTTTACAACAATTGTGGCGATATGAATCAGACATGTTGGCCCGGATCGAAGCACATAGAGGGCTTTAATGGATCATGCAATAGTCATTCTATATTCAACTACTGACTAAATCAAAGCGCTGTCGTGTCAAGCAAAATTATAGTTGGATTTGAATTTTAAAAATGAAGTTGTCTTACATGTATTTCTTTGTCAACATAAATATAATATATCGCTAAAGACGGCGTCTCTTATTCGTGTTTTATAAAAATCTATGACTGTATTCACAATTGGAACTTAAAGATGAGTCGCGTTAAAACTAAATAAAAACGTGATGGAATAAAACTTGTCCATTAAGGATTTTTTTGAGTGACATGATGTTGTATTTTCCGACTAAAGGAACAATAAAATTGCTTTTATAATTAACGATACTTTTGGTCACACAACATTCATGTTTGAAAATGAATTACTCAAAAAAACAAAGAACGTTAAGATGTTAAAGAAACGGTTTACAAATGCAAAAATAATAACATTTGTTGAAAAGACGAATGCATATGGCAACGGAAATTTGGTCAAAAGTCATTCTTGAAATTCAATCAAACACAGGATATCAAAAAATAATCAATTAAAATTTGCCACTACGTTGGCAATAAAACCCGCATACAAGAAACGATGAGAAATCACTTCGCGCTCTGTAC